AAATATGGTGCCTATGCTCCATATGTCAACTGGAGTGGAATAGCGAGCCGAACCCAGCAATACTTCTGGAGATCTGTACCAGAGAGTCACTACCTATGAAAAAACAAATTAAAAAAGTTAGGATGCATTAAATGAACTGTTAGATTTCATTTACATAATCCTCAGTTAACTATACACAAAACACTAAATTGAAGACAAAATTTTCAGTTGTTGAATGGAAAACCAACTGGCTCTGGAAACTTTCAATCAAATCCCAAGTTGACAAAATGCAAGTAAGTTCTATTCATTAAGGGGGAAAGCAAAAACATATCTAGGCTTATCATATCAGAGTAAAGAACAAGAAGACAGAGTCTTATCTTTAACAAAAAAACCTGATTATACACACTTAAGGTTGATATTATTTAAAGTACAAGTATTGTTTATATACTTAAAATGATAATTAGATACTTATCCTTATTTAAAGTCACAAAAAGTTAGATAAAAGGGAGGAGATAAAAATAGCAAATGAGCAATGTGATAATACTTCAATCTGGAAATGATCTTTGGAAATGTTTCCAATAATTTTATTATTCAACATTCTCTTTCTACTAGAAATAATACATGAAATGTCAAGTCATTAAAAACATTGATGAAACCAATCTAGTCCCTTATAAGCATCAATGAAGGCAGTTCTGCTGCTAACACAAAGGCCGAGCCTTCTTGGTGGTGCAAGGCTCATACCTGCCAGCAGGTCTGCTGCAGAAAAATGGATTATCTCCCTCCCAATTTACAGGTCTGCAAATCCAATAGGTGGTCAGTTATGAGTTTTTAAAAATGTGAATATGCAGTAGAACCTCTTGAGCAACAAAACAGATTTTTTCCCCTTTACACCCAATTTGTTATCATTTCAATTAGGAGAAAGAAACCAAAGTAATAAGAACTGGAAAATTTGAGCATAAAGAGTAATTAAATATCATAGGGAACTGCAGTAAGGAGGTAGCTGCCATAGTAAGCAATAAAAAGAAAACCTCCTCCACTCGGCAACATTATACCAGCACCTCCTTACTTACAAAGCTTTACATTGAACCAGTTGGCAAAGGAAAATATGGAAAGGTTGCAAGTTTCATCTTCACATTACATGTAATAAATAGTGGATCTAAAACGGAAAGACATTAAATTGATAATGGGAGCAAGGAAATCATGAATGTTTCTTTCCAGAATTAGACAACAAATGCAGAAAGAAATTCAATAGTGATATATTTTTAAGAAAAAAAAAAAAAAAAAGTAAATGGAAGAATCTTTCTACCTCATGTGTATAGACTCTAATAGGTATCCCAAAAGCTCTGGCAAGTCCAAAATCAGCCAATTTAATTGTTCCTTTGTCATCAATCAATAGA